TGGACCAGCAATTCTGCTGGCTCTGACCCTCAAGCGTCCTATTCTTCACCCCATCAGCAAAGACAGCTCAAGACTGGACAATTCTCATCACTGCCACCTCTACCGACGTCGTCGCAGCCATCGCCATCTCTCACAGGGACCGTGGAAACAGCCGGGAAGCTGTTTCCTCCCCTGCCCCTCCCACTGTGCAGGCAGCAGCCAGGGTGGTCTTTCTTCTCTATCAGACATTATAGCAATTTGTAAACATGGACCGATTCAATGTGCTCACCCCACCTCATCTTTTATGCCTGTTCCCTTCACTCCCTCCTCCCCAGCCTCCCTGGCCTCCTGCTGCCCCACCTCCCACCCCACCCTACTACTTAAGAATGAAGGAGGCCGGCGCCGCGGCTCACTAGGCTAATCCTCCGCCTAGCGGCACCGGCACACCAGGTTCTAGTCCCGGTTGGGGCGCCGGATTGTTTCCCGGTTGCCCCTCTTCCAGGCCAGCTCTCTGCTGTGGCCAGGGAGTGCAGTGGAGGATGGTCCAGGTGCTTGGGCCCTGCACCCCATGGGAGACCAGGAAAAGCACCTGGCTCCTGGCTCCTGGCTCCTGGCTCCTGCCATCGGATCGCGGCGGCCATTGGAGGGTGAACCAATGGCAAAGGAAGACCTTTCTCTCTGTCTCTCTCACTGTCCACTCTGCCTGTCAAAAAAAAATTATAAAAAAAATATAAAAAAAAAGAATGAAGGGTTATTTCAGCTCACGGTTTTGGAGATTCACAGTCCAAGATCAGTGATGACACCTGGTGATGGCATTCTTGCTGGCTGAGTCCTGGGACAGCACAGGGCATCAGGTGCAAAGAGGGCGCACACAGTGCAGGTGGAGGAAAGAGCACATGATTAGCCAGGAAGCAGAGAGAAAGCAGCTGGGCCCAACTATCAGGCAAGCTTTTATAACCAATATCTGGTGAGAAATGCCTTCTGAGGTCATGTTCTCAGTGACCTAAGGTTCTTCCACTAGGCCCACCACCTAAACATAACTGAATTTCCACCTTCTTAGTATTAACTTATTGCCCTGGGAATCATTAAACAACTGCATGAGTTCAGAAGCCAAAGACATTCAAACCATAGCACGCTCAGTGTGGGTGCTACGGTGCAACAAGATGAACCACTGCTTGGCACAGTAGCATCCCACATCACAGTTCTGGTTAGAGTCTTGGCTACTCCGTTTCCAGTCCAGCTTCCTGCTGATGAGCCTAGGAGGTGGCTGATGATGGCCTAAGTGTTGGGCTCTTGAAAATTTAAAGAACAGAGAATGCAGGGTGGTCATTCATTTGTAGCAGTTAAGATGGTTACATCCCACTTCAGGGTACCTGGGTTTAAGTTCCAGTTCTGGCTCCTAACCCCAGCTTTTTGCTAATGCAGCCCCTGGAAGGCACAAGTGATGGCTCAAGTAATTGGGTCCTGACCCAATTGGATTGCCTTTCCAGCTCCTGTGTCTGGCCTTGGTCATTGTAAGCATTTGAGGACTAAATCAGAGGATGTGAACTCCAACTCTCTGCCTCTTCACCCCACAAAAAAAAGAAGAAAAAGAGCAGAAAATGGGCCCTACATTCAAGCCTGTTAAGCTGTTGGAGGAAGCAGTGTCTGAGCAGAACTTAACTGTTTTGCTTTCATTTCACTCAGTTTTTGTAAGATGTATTTATTCATTTATTTGAAAGGCAGAGCAACAGAGAGAGACAGAAGAAACAGAGACAGGGTTCTTCCATCTACTGATTCCTGCAATAGCTAGGGCTGAACCATGGCACAGCCAAGAGCCAGAAATTCTATACCTGGGAGATAAGAGACCCAGGTACTTGGACCATCATGTGCTGCCTTTCCAGACCCATCAGCAGGAAGCTGGATCGGAAGGGGAGCAGCAGGGACTGAAACTGGCACTCTGTCTGATGTGGGATGCAGGTATCCTAAACAGCAGCTTGACCCGTTATGCCCCAAAACCCACCCTCCCTGTCCTCATTGTAAGGCCACCATCTATTTTACGTGCTGATCTTGGCTCCCCTTCCCAACAGCTCTAGGAGGGAGCACTGTTCTGCAGATGGGGAAACTGCAGCTGACTTTCCCACGAGACCCACTTTTTTAAGATAAAACATAAGATTCATCACTTAAAATGTCTCAAAGTGTATAACTGTTTCTCGGTGTATTTCCAATTATGTTTAGCCATCACTACTAATTCCAGAACATTCTTGTCACCTCAAAATGAACCTGTTCCCTTTAGCTAGCAGACCCCCATCTCCCTTTGCCACCAGCTCTAAGCAGCCACGGATCTGCTGTCTCCATGAACTTGCCCGTTCCGGACATGTCACATAAATGGAACCACACATATAGTATCTGGCTTTTCACTTGGCATCATGTTACATGATGCCCATTTATATCGTAGCATGTGTCTGAACTGTATTCTTTCCTGAGACTGAAAACACCCACTGTATGGACAGACCACAGTTACTATCCATTCACCACTTACGGGTGTTTGGATTGGCTCCACTTTCTTTCTTTCTTTTTTTTTTTTTTTTTTTTACAGGCAGAGTGGACAGTGAGAGAGAGAGAGACAGAGAGAAAGGTCTCCATTTGCCGTTGGTTCACCCTCCAATGGCCGCCGCACCACACTGATCCAAAGGCAGGAGCCAGGTGTTTTTTGTTTTGTTTTGTTTTTTCAAGGAGCCAGGTGTTTCTCCTGGTCTCCCATGGGGTACAGGGCCCAAGCACTTGGGCCATCCTCCACTGCACTCCCTGGCCACAGCAGAGAGCTGGCCTGGAAGAGGGGCAACCGGGACAGAATCCGGCACCCTGACTGGGACTAGAACCTGGTGTGCCGGCGCCGCTAGGCGGAGGATTAGCCTATTGAGCCGCAGTGCCGGCCAAGGATTGGCTCCACTTTTGACCATATGAATAATGCAGTGAGGCACAGTTGTGTAGTTTCTGTTCGAACACCTGCCTTCAATTCTCCTGGGTATATACCCAGCAATGGACTTGCTGGGTGACATGGAGATTCTGTTTAACTTCTTGAAGTGGGTTAAACTGTTTTCCAGTGTAGTCATGCCACTCTGCACCCCCACCGGCAAATAGAAGGCAGGGGCCCATCATTCCACCTCCTCACCAGAACGTCCAACAGCCTGTTTTCTACGTCTAGCTACCCACCGCGGTTCATCTGCACCTAAGGACTAGCGATGTTAACATCCTTTCCTGTGCTTCTTGGCCACTCGTGCATCTTCGGTGAAATCTCTCTTTAAGTCCTTGGCCCCCTTTTAATTGGGTTATTTTCTTCTTGTTGTGTTGGAAAAGCTTCCTTTCATAAAAACTTAGCTTAAAAAGTCCATTTAAAGGGTAGGCATTTGCCGCAGTGGTTAAGATGCTGCGAGGGAAGCCTGCGTTCCATTTTAGAGTGCCTGGGTCTCACTCTGCTCCCAATCCAGCTTCCTGCTAACGCCCACCTGGGCAGTAGGAGGTGATGGATCAAGCGGTTGCATTCCTGCCACCCCCATGTGAGACCAGGATTGACTTCTGGGCTCCTGGCTTAGGCTTGGCTATTGGCAGGTATTTGGAGAGTCAACCAGGGGACGAAAAATCTCGTTCTATCTGCCTTTCAAATAAAAAAAAAAAACTTAAATATTGTGTTTATGTATTTGAAAAGGAGAGAGATAGCAAAAGAAGGAGAGTGACAGAGAGCGCCAACTCTCCTGTCTGTTCCTTCACTGTTCAAATGGCCCCAAGTGCCAGGACTGCACCAGGCCGACGCCAGAAGACACTAGCTCCATCCTGGCCTTGCAAGTGGGTGACAGGGGCACAAGTACTTAAACCACCCTCTGCCACATCCCAGGCAAGTTAACAGGAAGCTGGACCAGAAGGGGGGCAGCCAGGACTCGGGATCTGAATATGGGACGTTGGCATGTCGGTGTCACAAGCAGTGGCTTAACCCATTGCACAACACGTTGGCTCAAGTAAAAAAAAAAATTTTTTTTAAATAAACTTTGGGGCCAGCGTTGTGGTTTAACAGGTTAAGCCACCGCCGGTGGCCAGCATCCCACATGGGCGCTGGTTTTGGTCCTGGCTGCTCCACTGCTGATCCAGCTCCCTGATAATGGCCTGGGAAAGCAGCTGAAGACGGCCCAAGGGCTTGGGTCCCTGCACCCACGTGGGAGATCTGAAGGAGCTCCTGGCTCGGGCCTGGCCGAGCCCTGGGCACTGCAGCCATGTGGGGAATGAACCAGCGGGTGGAAGATTCCCTCTGTGTTCAAATAGACAGATCTTCAAAGGAAAGCATTGCGTAAGCAATGGCGCGAAGCCAGCGGGGGCAGGACACAAGGCGGGAAGTAGTCCGAGCACCGCCGGCTCCGGAGCTGGCCCCCGATCCTGGACTCACGACCCCGCTCTGCCCTCGGGCGCCGGGGAAACGGAGACCTAACTTCTGGGGGTCGAACTCTGCCGCCTCACGAGCGTCGGCACGAACGAGACGACGCCCGCCAAGAGCCCGCCACCGTCGGCGGCGACTGCCAGGCGACGGGTGACCCCGTCCCTCACCTCGCGGAGCCGCCCGAGCATGCGCCCTTCTCCACAGCCCAGCCCCGGCGCCCGCCCCTCGCTCGGCGCCGCCACGACCTCAGCCCAACTTCCGTTTCCGGGGTCGGCAACGCGGCTTCCGGCGGCCTGACCCGTGCGCGCTGGACCGCGGGGTTCCAGAGCCGGAAGGGCCTGTGCCAGCGGCCGGTGAGCGGGCGGCGGTGCGTCCAGCTGTGGGTGTTGCCCTTGGACCTTCGGCCTGGGAGGGAGGAGCGGCCGGGGCGCGCGCCGGCGCCAGGCGGGTCCTCGGTTCGTCCGGTTGCCGGCGGGGCCTGTGTCGCCGCCCCTCCGCGGCCCGGCGTGGGGGCGTCGCCCCGGGGTTCCCGAGACCGCGGCCATCGGGGGGCGTGGGTTCCTCTCCAGCCCGCGCCGCTGGTGAGCGCTGTGCCCTCTGGCGGGGCGCGCCCCCTGGCCGACGCTGCCTGGAGTTGGGAAGGCGCAGGTGGACCTCGCGGGGACGGAGCGGCCGCAGGCCCGGAAGCGGCCTGGTCTGAGCCCGTCGCCTGTGCCTGGCACGGCGCGAGGACGGTGTCGGTGTCCTCGGAGCCCCAGCGCTGTGGAAACCCTGCGGGAGGTGCTACTCCGCACCTGCCAGCTGACGTCGCGAGGGCTCGCGTGCGTCGGACCGGGCTTAGGGTTCCCCACGTTTCCCGGGCCTGCGGTGGTTAAGTCGTCGCTGTTCGGTTCACCCTTCCTCTCTCTTCATTTTTTAAAAAAAATAGTGAAACAGAGTTTGCTTTTTGTTTTTGCTTTTAAGATTTATTTGTTTTGAAAGAGTAACAGAGGAAAAGAACTTTTCCATCTGCTGGGTCACTGCCCCATGGCCACCAGGGCTAGGCCGGTCCAACCCGGGAGCTTCTCCCGGGTCTCCCACGTGGGTGGCAGGGACCTCAGCTTTTCCCAGGCCGTTAGCAGGGAGCCGGATGGCGGCACCTGTACGGGATGCTGGAGTGGGAGGCAGCGGCTGTACCTGCTCTGCCGCAGTGCCCGGCTCTGAACGAAGTGTAAGGGAGAGAGTACACCTGATGGAGCAGGTGGGCACCTCAGTGGGGACCCGAGAGCCCCAGCTCACATTTGTGAACTCGCGAGTCGCTGTTCACAGCGGGGAGGAAGGTAAATACCGTCTTAGATTTTAGTCGTTGGCCTGGTACTGTGCTGCTCACACAGAGGAGCTGTTTAATTCCTGTTTTGAGGCTTGGCAGCACTAACTTGCTTTGGGTCGCTCAGCCCACGAACGTGGAGGTAGGAATTCCAGGCCACGTTCTTCACCGCTAGCTGAGAGGCCCGGATGCTGAACTGTATTCGAATGTGCTGTGGCAGAAATTCTTACTGTTGACTCTGGAGGTTATGGGATGACTTTCATCCACCCCGGGACCCACACCAGACAGGGCATGCCGTGGCAATGCTGAGTGCCGCCTTCTCTGCTGTGGCGCCTGCGTTGCTTGTGTGGTGGTGACGTGCTGTTGTGCAGCCTGGCCCGGTGCCCCCATTTCTTCAGCTCTGTAACACAAGCATGAGGCGTTCACCAGGCGAGCAGACCAAATAGAGTTCAGTGTTGTTCTTGCTGCCCTCCAGAGCGTGTATCCTTAATCATAATTGAAATGCAAGGTGACGATGTTTCTGTCTGTACCGATGGTAGGGATCTTGACAGCGCTGCCAACATGTCTGACGGTGAAGAAGCCACTAACCACCTTCTGGACGGGACCCTTCACGAGAGCCAGGCTTCTGTACAGGCCGCAGAGGGTGGCCTCCAAAGTGAGTCTGCACGTCTCCCAGTCACGATCGGCGCCACAGTTCCCACTGGCTTTGAGCAGACTGCCGCGGACGAAGTGAGAGAGAAGCTGGGCTCAGCATGCAGAATCAGCAAAGACCGCGGCAAGATTTATTTCGACATTTCAGTGGAAAGTCTGGCTCAGGTTTGAAGGAGACAGTATTTAAATAGCTTTCTGAATCTGTCATTTTATGATATGCTTATGGCTCCTTTTTTGCTTTTCTCTGCCCTAAATCATGTGATTTCAAAGTTTTATGCATTTTTTTTAATTTATTAATTTATTTGAAAGGCAAAGGTAGAGAGAGAAGGGGAGAAAGAGATATTCCGTCCACCAGATGGCTGCAACAGCCAGGGCTAGGTGAGGATGAAGCCAGGAGTTTCTGCCAGGTCTCCTGTGTCGGTTCAGGGCCCAAGTGCTTGGGCCATCTGCTGCTTTCCCAGGGGCATGAGCAGGGCTGCATTGGCAGTCGAGCAGCCAGGGCTGGAACCAGTGCCCATACGGGATGCAGGCATGCAGGTGGAGGCTTAGCCTGTGTGCCACAGCGACAGCCCCGGTTTTACGCATTTTCTAAAGGGTACTGATTTGTGAGTTTTACTGAGTTTAGTACGTTGTATTTTATGTATTTCCGGATTTTTACTGTATTTTCAGAGGTGATCTAGCATTCCCCAATAGTGAATTCCCCAGAAAAATTCTTATGTGTCTTATTAAGAGGTTCTGTGTATCTGTTACACATCTCTTAGTTTGTTTACTGGCTGAAGTTTAGGCCCTTTTTTTTTGACTAATTTATTTTACTTAAAAGGCAGAGTTACAGAGAGACACAGGCAGAGACAGAGAGAGAGGTCTTCCATCCTCTGGTTCACTCCCCAGTTGGCTGCAACAGCTAGAGCTGCGCTGATCCAAAGCCAGGGGCCAGGAGCTTCTTCTGGTCTCCTGTGCATGTGCAGGGACCCAAGTATTTGGGCCATCTTCCACTGATCTCCCAGGCTGCAGCAGAGAGCTGGATTGGAACTGGCACCCATATGGGACTCACATACTGCAGGCAGCGACTTTACCCGCTACGCCACAGCACTGGCCCCAAGTTTAGGCTTTTGTAATGAAGTACATGAGCAGAGTTCTTTTCTTCTTTTAATCTGTGTGAAAGAAATTCTTGCTCAAAAGTGATGAGAAATGTTGAAGGTGAAAGGCTGAGAGTGAGCAACCTGCCATCTCACCACCACACAGGCGACATGCAGTGGCGTTGTTGACAGCTGTGTGTGTGTTTCAGCAGTGTGCCCTGAGCTCTGAGTGTCTGGCCTAAGTATGTAGGCTGAACTGGGAAGCAAATATTTTCCATCCAGTCAGTGTTTTACTTAGTGCCCTTGGCTGCTTTGTGAAGATCGGCGTTATTAATCATTTGGTTTGGGAAGAGTAAGTCATTTGTTCAGACTCACTCAGCCACTAATCCCAGAGCTGGGGCTGAAAGCCCGTGCTCTTGTCCACTGTGTGTGCAGTGGAGCACAGGCAGCCATGAGGGCTTAGGCAGAGTCTCAGCCCCCGTCTCTCCCAGGCCCGTGTAGCCTTTCGCCTCTTTGCTTCCAGCTGTGCCTTGCTTCCTCCGGGGCAAAGCAGCAGCTGATGGGAGAGCAGTGAGATGGGAGATTTCTAGAATACAGAGTATAGAGACTGACTCTTGAAAACGTTGTGGTTAATTTTTTTCTGTTGGTAGCTTTGTTCATTCAAAAGCTTTCTCAAACCCTTGTTTCTCACACTTTTTTTCCTGCCTAGGTTCATTCCCTGAGATCGGTCGATAACTTATTTGTGGTGGTCCAGGAGTTCAAGGATTACCAGTTCAAAAGCACAAAGGTGAGCTTTTCCAGCGTGGCAGCTGATGTTGGCCATCTTCCCCAGCGAGGTTATTTCTCCTTCGCACTTTCTATTTATCCTTTAGCACTACCCTTCTTTTCATAATAGAAGATAGTAGGAGGCTTTTACAGTACAACCTAGAAATTTTCTGGCAGTCTGTCCCAGAGGTCGTTTTTGAACATTGGTAAAGAAAGGCATGGATGTTTGGCCTGGAGGTTGAAGTGCCCTTATCCCCTGTCAGAGTTCCTTCGTTCAATACCTGACTTTGGCTTCTACTTCCATCTTGCTGTGAATACAGAATCTTGGGAAGCAGTAGTGGCAGCCCAAGCAATGGGTCCTTGCCATCCGTGTGGGAGACCTGGCTTGAGTTCCCAGATTCACTGTGGAAAAGGCGTTTGTGGGGGGAGTGAACCGTGGAAGGGAGCGCACACATGCCTACTCCCCCCCCCCAATAAAAAATAATTTTTTTCAATAAAAAACTTTATAAATCAGTGTTGAAAACAGTGAAATTTATAAGGAGTGAAACACATTGTTTGACATTTTTGCAAGACCTGTGAACCTCAGGTCGGTTTTGCTGATGTACTTGTGCTTGATAATGAGATTGCCTGCAGAGTGTGAAGCAGAGAGATCGTCTGTGACCACTGCAGTCACGCTTCCTCGCCATCCTGCTTCCGCTCTGCTTGCTTTCATAACCTCGTGGAAATGAAGCCAAAATAATATCTCAGTACTTCTTCAGTTGTTAAGACAACAGCTTTGTTGCCAACGTGTGTTTAGCGCTGAGTCCTAAATAATCAGCTGCCGCCTAAACTGAAGGTTGAAAATAGATGCAGCAAAGGTTGTAGGTTTTTTCCACGTTCATTTTTGGTCAAATTTACAGACTAAAATGCTTAAACACTTTTTTCTGTCACTTTTTTTTAAGATTTATTTATTTTACTTGAAAGTTAAAGTTAGGCAGAGGTAGAGAGAAACAGAGAGAGAGTTGTCTTCCATCCACTGGTTCACTCCCCAAATGGGTGCAATGACCGGAGCTAGGTTGATCAGGAGCCAGGAGTTTATTCTGGGTTTCCCACCAGGGTGCAGGGGCCCAACTACTTGGGCCATATTCTACTGCTTTCCCAGGCCATAACAGAGAGTGGGGTGGGAAGTGGAACAGCCAGGACTTGAACTGAGCCCATATGGGCTGCCGGCACTGCAGGCGGTGGCTTTACCCACTGTGCCGGCCCCTGTTTTCTTTTCTTAGAATGATAGTTGTTGTATGCTGCCTGTTTCTCTAATTTTTATTTATTGAGAACAGGTTGGTTTCCAAAACAGTATTTAAAAATCATTCAAAGTGATAAGAACTCACAGCCCTAGAAAGCAAAACCAAGCCAAAGAGAATTCACTCTGAAAATAGATGAAAATGTTATTTATTACATGTGTAGTTTTGAACCTTTCAGACTTCTGATAGTTGCTGCCGACTGAATCCTGTCTGTGAAATTGATAAATAACAGGGAATTTTCTGAGAATTTGTGGTGCTAAATAGTTTGAAATTTTGTTGGCCAATTCTATATGTGAATAAATGTTAACAGGCATTTTTTGAAAACTGTGCTTCTAAAATTCTTGCTTCTTACTCAACGAGACGTTATTAACGTCTGTTAAATGCCCGTGTTCAGGTTATTCTGGTGATTTGGGTCTCCCCGGCAGTGGGTCGGGTGACTGGCATGATGCCGTGCGAGCTGGTTTTCCAGAGCGGCCTGCGGCAAGTGCAGAGACGCTTCTGCCGCGAATCGCAAGAAGAGCAGCAGAGAGCAGCCGGGTCAGATGTGTGCCAGGAACCTGACCGTCAGAAACTGTCGGGCCTTTCAGTTCTGGACTTAAATTGCAACGTGCCCATAAAGCCTCACTTTTAAACATACGCTTTTAGCTTTCATTCTGTTGATTTAGTGTCTTTTATATTGCTTTCCCTTATCTTAGAAAAAGCCTGTAGCGAATGCATTCTAATGAGTTCTGTTATTTTTAGATACTCAGATAATAACATGAATTTATTATCTCCCATTCTAGCAGAAGGCTGACAAATCTGTGTTGTATGTGGTTTTTTAAAGCTAGCTGGTGCGTGTACTTAGGGCAAGCGTGTGCAGACAGAGCATGTGCAGGGGGAAGGCAGTCTCTGTGCCTGTGTCCTCGTCAAGCAGTGCCTTCCTGGAGGCAACAGCTCTCACCAGTTTCTCGTGCATCCTTCTAGAGAGATTGTGTGAATGTGTGTGTGTTGTTCACTTATTTACACGGAGGGAAACATCTCATCCGTACTGTTTTGTGCTTTTTTTTTTTTTTTTTTCCATGCATCTTGGAGATCATTCCAGAATCCTCCCCAAGTTGACTGCATGCATTGAATTCTCTGGGTTTGTCCTAGTTGAACCAGCCCATTTTTATAACATCAAGGTTTTCCTTTTTTTTTTTTTTTAATCACTCTTTTTGCTGTCACGGTGGTGCAGTGGATATTCTCTATATGTCCTTGTGCCTCTTCAATTTGAGGGTCATCTTTGTGTTTAATAAGAATTTCTCCCATTGATACTTACTGATGTTACAGAAATGTTTATTTTACTTCTGTCGCATTTATGTTACCCATTTTGCTTTTTTAAATTTCTTTTTTAATGTATATTCTTTGTTTTTTCCATGTATGTGTTTTATAACAGTTTGGAAGATTTGTATTTGTGTTCCAGCTATTACCTTGATAACTCAAACTTGATTTTATTGCCATAATCTGCAGTTTTTTGAATTCCTAAGGAGAGCAGTGTTGAAATTGGTGTTTTCTCCACCTTTCCCCTTCCAGTTTTGTTAGGTGTTTTAGTGCCGACTGACGCTGAAGTAGACTTGATTTGTTTCTCAGCTTTGCCCTTCTGCTCACTGCCCTCTGAGTGCAGACCAGGACTTGAGTGTGCAGAAGTTGCCTCCTGTCTTCTCTGCGTTTCCTTTGCCATCTGCTCACCAGGCTGTAACACTGACCTTCCATTTTACACTCACATTGCCTACCTGTGTGTTCATTGTAGACTAGAAGTTTGATAGGTTATAAGTGCATTACTTGTCCTTTGTTGAAGTTTTTCCATTTTTCTCTCGAATGGCATGACCTCAGCAATGCCTCTTTTAGCTTTTATGTGGTTAGTAGTTCAGATATGAAATTTGGAGTTTGGTTTTCCTTCTTTAATCACAGTAGGCAGTGTTGATTCTCCACTGGTGTTAAATGTTGCCATGGAAAATTCTGAAGCCATCCTTACATTTTTTTCCTCTTATTTATTGCTTTCAGAATATTTTTGCCTGATGCCCAGATGATGTTTTTATTATTCACAATCTAACAAGTTTACCATAAGGTGTCTTCTAATAAGAAATTCACCTTACATTTCTGTGAAGTTTTCTTGAGTTATTGAAAAAATTTTATTATTTTAGATCTCTTTAAGGAAACTAGTTATACTTTTGTAGCATCTTTTTTTTTCTGTCTTTCATGTTGATCATTTTCTCTCCAGTTCTTTGCTTTTTTCTCTATTTTTTTTTAAGACTTATTTATTTTGAAATAGTTAGAATGAGATCTTCTACCTGCTGGTTCACTCCCCAGATGGAACTTTATCTGGGTTTCCCACATGGGTGGCAGGGGCCAAAACACTTGGGCCATCTTCCATTGCATTTCTCAAGCCATTAGCAGGGAGCTAGATCAGAAGTGGAGCAGTCAGGGCACGAATTGGCTGCCTCACGGGATGCCCGCAGCTCAGGCAGCGGCTTTGCCCGCTACACCACAATGGCGGCCCCTGTTTGCTTAGTTCCTTGCTTATGGTTTCAGCAGTGTCTTCTCTGTGTGCTGCTTTCAGAATGTGTGCGTGGTTTAATTTTTGTTTGTTTTTGAATCCTACTTTTTTTTTTTTAACTTTCCAAGTTTCTGTTACATCTCCTTTTGAGGCTCACTCCACCTCTTTCTGCCCTATGTCTGTTCTGAGTTCCTATTTTATAAAGGTACTCCTTTGTTCCATTTGTGGATATCATGTCTTGTGTTTGATAGCAGTTTTAAATTCGCTCAGTTTTTCTGTTTACTGGATAGAGCTTTCTTTTGCTGTTTGTGTTTCCGTTCATGTTGCCTTTCTTCCTTTTATGACTTTGACTGAAGTCCTGATGATGTTTTATGATTGCTCATCTGATGATGAGGTAGTTCCTCTTGGGCTTGGTATTTATAAGAGGTATATGAAGTTTATATTCCTTAACTAAAAGGTTTCTGGGCAAAACAAAAAACAAACAAACAAAAAACCAACCACAAACGAGGTTCTTATGGTGGGAGAAACCAGGAGGGTTTCCAGGCAAGCCAGAAGTCTCTGGTACAGAGGATTTGGGGTGGATTCTTCTTCTTTTTCACAGCTTTATTGAGTTAGAATTTCCATGCCTTCCTCTTTCTGCAAGGGATCAGCAGCTACAGAGTAACTCACAGAGCAGAGTCTCCCCAGCTCCACCCGGTGACGGTGAGGGACCGTTTCCTGCCAACCCAGCATGCCTGTGAGATCCCTAGTCCAGCCCCTGTTTCACTCTGCTGCTGCCTGCTGCATCCAGGCCCAGGGAAGCCCCCTTATCAGTCCAGCTCTTCTTCCCTGCTGTTCCACCCAGGCTGTGTTTGTTGCCTGCTTTGTGGTTCAGAATTACAGGTGTCATGTCGATTGAATTAAGGTGGAATTGATGTCCCTGTTTTGTTTGTTGTTGTTGTTTTTATAACGGTTTCTGAAGAAAGAAAGGGACTTAGAGGCTTTCCTGGTGTTACTCCACAGGCTTAACCCTACCGGTTGTCTAGAGGCTCTTTCTAGGAAAATTATTTCTAAATAGAATCAGATTGGCTAATCCTGAAGTTTTATAATTTTTTGGCATTTTTAAAAGCAGCAAAGCCTCCACTCACTCCTGTTTCCAAGTCTCAGTTCCATCAGTCAGCACTAATTTCTTTCTAGTTTGGTCTTGCGTAGTGTCCACCATTTGTGCTGGTTCTGGGTGATAGAACTTTCTGGTGGGAATGTGTGTGCAGCGTGGTAGCCGCTAATTCTGAGCTGTGGCTAAGGTGGCTGAGGAGCTGAGTGCTTGCCTTCGCCTCATCACTTACCTTTCTCAGCGCCACGTGGGACAGCTCTGTCCTTCCCATCTCCGTGTTTTACCACACACTGACCGGCACCGTTCTCATGGCTCATAGCCGTGGTCAAGGTGGATGAGGTCCTTTCCTTACGCCATGCTCTCACCTTCTGGGGGGACCCCTGATGTAGAAACCGTACCCTCTAGGGGACCCCTGATGTAGAAACCGTAAACCTAGAGCCTCAGGTAATGCTACGGATGGTAGACACTGCTTGGAAGGACTGAGGTAAGTGGAGCACGGCTCTCAGAGGCTGTGCCTTTAATTGTCCTTGGGTAATAAGAGAGAGGCCACACAAGGGAAAGCAGGAAATGAGGGTCAGAGGGGCCTTGAAATGATACAGGGAAATAGGCAGGAGTCAGGTGGGTTTTGTAAGGAATTGAGATTTTGTCTGTGCCGTGGGAAGCTACTGAAAGACTGTTATTAAGAGAGGGGCATCACTAGATTGAGTTTTTTAAAAATAACAGTTCTCACTGCTACTTTCAAACTTGCTTAAGGGGATTTATTTTCCCTTTCAATAAAATTTTGCTTCTGAAGCCTGCATTGTGGTGCAGCAGGTTAAGCCGCCGCCTACTTGTTGGCATCTCGTATGAATGCTGGTTTGATCCTCTTCTGATCCAGCTCCCTGTTAATGTGCCTGGGAAAGCAGTAGAAGATGGCACAAGTGCTTGGTCCCCTGCCACCCATTTGGGAGATTCAGATGGCGTTCCAGGCTACTGGTTTGTGCCTGGCCCAGTCCTCACCGTTGCAGTCATTTGCGAGTGAACAGTAAATGGAAGATTGGTTTCTCTCTCTTCCTCTCTCTCTCCCTCTGTCTCTTTCCCACTTCCCTTCTTCCCCTCTTCCCTACCCCTATCTCCATCTCTGTCTCTGTCAGTCTACCTTTCAAACAAATAATATTTTTAAAATAATTTTGCTTCTTAAAATATGTATGCACAGCACAAAATCCAAAAGATCCAAGAGGAAGTCAGTCAGAGTCGCCCTTCCTCCCCTCGTTCATCCACCCACTTCCCCTCCTTGAAAGTAGTTTCTTAGAGCTTAAATTTTAACCTTGAATCCTTCCTTTAGCTCTGCCATTCTGTCTTGAGTTACTGTAGAGACTTATGTGAGACTCATCATTGGCTGGTGCGATTTGGATTTCCTTGATTGTAGGCATTTTACTTACTATTGTTCGGACCCCACCCACCCTGGCTTTAGTGGTCAGTACAGTCTGTAAGCAAAGTAGAAGTTTATTTATTTAGTGAGAAATGAATGGTTTTCATTTGTTGTATTTTATAGGAAGAAGTTCTAAAGGACTTTGAAGACTTGGCTGGGAAACTGTCATGGTCAGACCCTTTAAAAGTGTGGGAAATGAACAGCAGTTTCAAGAAGAAAAAAACAAAACGCAAAAAGATAAATCAGAATTCAAATAAAGGGAAGACTGATAATGGACAAGGAGACAAAAAAGATGAGAGAGATGTTAAGAAAGAGTTGACTGGCAGTGCTTCAGAGACACAGATCTTGGACTATTACGAAAACCCAGCCATCAGAGAGGAGATCTCCACGTTAGTCGGCGATGACTTGGCCTCTTGCAAAGATGAGGCTGATGAAAGGTCGAAAGAAGAGGCAGATGCATCAGTGCTGCGCTTCAGAGTCACCTGCAACAGGGCGGGAGAGAAGCACTGCTTCACCTCCAACGAGGCTGCGAGGGACTTCGGAGGTGCTGTTCAAGAACACTTTAAGTGGAAGGCTGACATGACCAGCTTTGATGTGGAGGTGAGCACAGGCTCTCACTGGGATGCTTCAAGAAGGCTGTCATAGGTTGATGACGTTTTCAGACTAACCCAGTCTTGGGGACAATTACACTGGAGCAGTAGAGCTAGCAGGGTGTGGTTAACAAGAGCATGGGTTATGGAATCAGCACTAGATCCAAAGCTGAACGCCAGAGCTCTATACCTTTGGCCCAGATCATCTGGCATCTGTTCCATTGGAGCCAATAGTAGTACTTACCTTGAAGGATGTTGTGGACATCACATGAGATGATATACACCTAAAGGATTGCATCATGCCTACTGTATTCTAAGTGCTCAATAGTTGGGAGCTGTCAGGACTTGGGCTTTCTAATTTCTGATCTAGTCCTGGTTTCTACACTACGCTGACTTTCAGATTATAATATTCAGCTAGAAATAAATTGCTTTTGTGTATCTTGGTCATGGAGTTTTGCTACTAATTAAAGTAAACTACATTTTTCGTTTTTTTTTGTTTTGTTTTGTTTTGTTTTTTTATTTTTTGACAGGCAGAGTGGACAGAGAGAGAGAGAAAGGTCTTCCTTTGCCGTTGGTTCACCCTCCAACGGCCACCACCAGCCGGCGCGCTGCAGCCGGTGCACCGCAGCCGGTGCACCGCCCTGATCTGATGGCAGGAGCCGGGTACTTATCCTGGTCTCCCATGGGGTGCAGGGCCCAAGCACTTGGGCCATCCTCCACTGCACTCCCTGGCCACAGCAGAGAGCTGGACTGGAAGAGGGGCAACCGGGACAAAATCCGGCACCCCAACTGGGGCTAGAATCCGGTGTGCCAGCGCCGCAAGGCGGAGGATTAGCCTAGTGAGCCGCGGCGCCGGCCAGTGAAACACATTTTTAAAACAAAGCTCGTGCCAGCAGCTTAAGCCACCTAGGACCCCTGCATCACATATTAGAGTGCTTGGGATCAAGTCCCACCTCTGCCTCCGTTTCCCATCCAGCTTCCTATTGATGCACTAGGGAGGCAGCAGATGGTGGCTCAAGTACTGAGTCCCTGTTACCCACCGGGAGACCTGGGTGGAGTTCCTGGCTATTGGCTCCTGGGCTCCTGGCCCAGTCCCTGCTGTTAGAGTGAACTAGTGCATAGAAAATAGATATCTCTGTCTCTCTTTCAAATAAATAAAAATGAATGACTTAACACTGTGAAAAATGGCCTGGCATTGTGGCACAGCAGGTTAAACTGCAGCTAGCAGGATAGGCATCTCATATCAGAGTACCAGTTGGAGTCCCAGCTGCTCCGCTTCCAGGGCAGCGTCCGGCTAATGCGCCTGGGGAGGCAAGGAGAGATGGCTGAGGTCCTGGACCCCTGCCATCCATATGGGAGACCAGGATGGAATTCCTGGCTCTTGGCTTCAGCCTGGCCCAGACCTGGGTGTCAGGGCCATTCGTTTGGGGAGTGAACCAATGGATGAAAACTGGCTCTCCCTTTCCTCTCCCTGCCTTCCAAGTAAGTAAATCTTTTTTTTTTTTTTTTTTTTTTTTTGTTTTGTTTTGGCAGGCAGAGTGGACAGTGAGAGAGAGAGAGAGAGAGAAAGGTCTTCCTTTGCCGTTGGTTCACCCTCCAATGGCCGGCGCGGCCGGCGCGCTGCAGCCGGCGCACCGCGCTGATCCGATGGCAGGAGCCAGGAGCCAGGTGCTTTTCCTGGTCTCCCATGGGGTGCAGGGCCCGAGCACCTGGGCCATCCTCCACTGCACTCCCTGGCCACAGCAGAGAGCTGGCCTGGAAGAGGGGCAACCGGGACAGAATCCGGCGCCCCGACCGGGACTAGAACCCGGTGTGCCGGCGCCGCTAGGCGGAGGATTAGCCTAGTGAGCCACGGCGCCGGCCCCAAGTAAGTAAATCTTAAAAAACAAAAACCTCAACTTCTTCAATTCAGTGCTAATACTCACTGTAGAGCAAGCTCTTTTCTTTCTGAAATTCCTTTAGGTTCCCAAAGCCTGGTTCCTCTGTTGAGCATGCTTGCTGCTCAGTGCTGTATCAGAATGACTCGTGGGCAGGAGGAATGGCAGGCTTTGAACCTCTGGCAACCTGAAAGACCCCTGACTTGTTTTTTGTTTTTTTGTTTTGTTTTGTTTTTTGTTTTTTTGACAGGCAGAGTTAGACAGTGAGAGAGACAGAGAGAAAGGTCTTCCTTTTTCCGTTGGTTCACCCTCCAAGTGGCTGCTGTGGCCGGCGCATTGCTGCTGGTGTGCTGTGCCGAGCCGAAGCCAGGAACCAGGTGCTTCCTCCTGGTCTCCTCCCATGGGGTGCAGGGCCCAAGGACCTGGGCCATCCTCCACTGCCTTCCAGAGCCACAGCAGAGAGCTGGACTGGAAGAGGAGCAACCAGGACAGAATCCGGCGCCCTGACTGGGACTAGAACCCGGGGTGCCAGCGCTGCAGGCGGAAGATTAGCCTAGTGAGCCGCGGCGCCGGCTAGACAGTTGGCATTTTTACCAAGAAGTCAGTTTCTGTTACTTTTGGGTTACTCAGATCTGGGCACGTCACTCGTTCGTATGGAACATTTTTACACGTCAAATCAGAATAGTCTCCATCTTCTCTCACAGCTGCCAGGAGAATGAACAGGCGAACTAGAACAGTCACATCCCAAAGTAGGCGGTTCAGAGGACAGGTTCCGGAGCTGTGCTGCCTGGGATTCAGTACCAGCTTAGAAGTTCCATGACCATGGGCCAGCGAGCTAAAGCTTATGTGCCTCAGTTTTCTCATCTATGAGGGGGGCTGATAACATTTGGCCTGGAGGGTATGAACATGAAATGAGGTCCTGTGTGTACAGTGTAGAACACTGCCTCGTGTGTAGGAAGTCCTGTGTAATTGTCAGCTGCTGCTCCTGTTGTTGATAACAACATGATGAGGAAATCCTTGGTGGAAGGTTGTAGAACATACTTTTTTTGTTTTTTATCAGAGTAACCATGTGTTAGGAAAACTATAACTGGGACCACATCAATTATGTCACAGACATTATTGTTTAAGGGAGTCAGATTTCTAAAAGTCCTAAATACAAAATAGTACAATAGATGATAAAGCACACTGTTAATTGTTGATTGGTGGGTATAATTTAGAGTTCATTGTGCTAAGTGGTCTTGTTGCACATCTGTATATTTAAAATTTTTTCAAAAAATGTTTAACATTTTTAAAATACATGTTTTTTTAAGAGAGATAGAGGTCTTCCATCTGATGGTTGGAAGCCCTAAAATACGTATATTTAAAAACTTGTATGGCTGGTGTTGTGGCACCTCTGAACCACTACTTGGGGCACCGATGTTGGAGTGCTGGTTCAAGTCCCAGTGCCTCCACGTGCAGTTCAGCATCCTGTTAAGGGCTGCAGATGATGGCCCGAATATGTGGGTCCCTGCGTGGGGGAGACCTGGATGGAGTTCCATTGATGGCTTCAGCCTGGCTGAGCCTCGGTTGTTGCAGGAATCTAGGGAGTCAGCCAGCAGGTGGAAGATTGTCTGTCTTGCTCGTGCTCTTGTTCTCACTTTCTCTATGTCTTTCCTTCTCTGTCACTCTAAACAGTCTTTAAAAAGCATAGGGGCAGCTGGTGCCGCAGCTCAATAGGCTAATCCTCCGCCTGTGGCGCCAGCACCCCGGGTTCTAGTCCCAGTCGGGACGCTGAATTCTGTCCTGGTTGCCCCTCTTCCAGGCCAGCTCTCTGCTGTGGCCAAGGAGTGCAGTAGAGGATGGCCCAAGTCCTTGGGCCCTGCACCCCATGGGAGACCAGGAGAAGCACCTGGCTCCTGGCTTCGGATCAGCGCAGTGCGCCGGCCGCAGCGCGCCGGCCGCAGCGGCCATTTGAGGGTGAACCAACAGTAAACGAAGACCTTTCTCTCTGTTTCTCTCTCTCTCACTGTCTAACTCTGCCTGTCAAAAAAAATTAAAATAAATAAATAAATAAAAATAAATAAAAAGCATAGGGACCGGCGCCAGGGCACAGTGGGTTAAAAACTCCAACCTGCAGCACCAGGATCCCATATGAGCGCCAGTGAAGTCCCAGTTGCTCGTCTTCCAATCCAGCTTTCTGCTATGGCCTGGGAAAGCAATAGAAAATGGTCCAAGTTCTTGGACCCCTGTACCCTCGAAGGAGACCTGGAAGAGGCTCCTGGCTTTGGATCATTTCAGCTCTGCGGTCATTAGAGGAGTGAACCATCAGAATGGAAGACCTCTCTCTCTCTGTCTCTACCTCTCTCTGTAACTCTTTCAAATAAATAAAATCTTTAAAAAAAAATCTTCAAAATATGTTTGTATTATAAATGCTGGGGGGAAATCTGGTTATATAGCCAACCTCTAGATTTCATAAATAAAATAGATGTAGAAGTTAAACAGTAATATACACTATGATTTTTCATTTGTATGAAGTTCAAAAAAAAAATGGTGAAACTAATTTAATGGTGGCAGTGGTGAGATCAGTGATTATCTTGTGTGGATTTTAATGGGAAGACCAAGGGGAGGCTTCTGTGTGGGTAAAACTCAGTGCACTGTACACTTTGCACGTGTCCAGCTTACTGAAGGCAAAGTACCCATCAATAAGAAAGCAAACAAAAAGCCTCAAGTAAGAAGTCTTGAACAGTCCTGACAGTTTTCCTCGTTTGACTTGATAGGTTCTCTTGAACATCCATGACAACGAGGTCCTGGTGGGCATTGCTCTGACAGAAGAGAGTCTCCACCGAAGAAACATAACGCATTTTGGACCTACCACTCTCAGGTCGACTCTTGCCTACGGGATGCTCAGGTGAGAGGGTGGGTTGCTCTGATGAAGGCAGTGCCTGGGCTTGAGTAAGTATTTCTGTCTCTTGCATCCAGTATTGACTCCTTGTGATTCTGAAAACAGCACTTGATCGGCATCTCCATTTTCTTGCCTTTAAAGTGAGAATGAGAGTTTTCATGCACCTCCTACCAGATTTGCTGTTTCTGTTTAGACAGGGTATACTGTTGCTCTGTGTGATCCATCACGTGCAGCGAAGCAGGTGGAAGCAGAGAGCGTTAAAGGTGCATAGCGTGTAAAAATGAAGTTGTATGCACACAGCAGTCCAGGAATAGCCTGGGCTGTCCCCTTTTCATAGTACAGGACCCGTCTTCTCTCATTGTCCCTCCTCTCTCTTACTGGGTGCTTCTGCCCACCACTCGTATAAGTTTATCTACTTTGAGCTTCTGTTTTCCAGACTTCAAAATAGGTTTAATGTGATTCTCAAAAGTTTATCAGTGAGTATGAAATGCAGAAATGTTTGCAGAACGTTTTACCTGCATTGCCTGACCTGTCCTGGTAGTTGAGTGAGTGTGTCCTGGTCCTCTGCACAGTTGTAGTTCAGCACAGGTGGAACACAGTAAGTCAGTGGAAAACTGGACCCATTTGGTTAAGGAACAGCTCAGAGTCTTCACTGATGGAGCAGGCATTTAGTGTCTGCTGCCAGGCATTGCGATTGGAGCCAGGATGCACACTGAGAGTTATTTTGGGTACAGACAATAGAATTTAGAAGTGATGATTGGGTCAGAGGGGCAGTTTTTTGGAATGATAATGAACAATCTTGCGGGATCCCCAGAAAAATTCAAAGCTGTGTCTCAAGAAGAGTGGGTACTAACCTTGGAAAGCCACTAGAGAGCCTTTTGCTCTCGTCTTTGCTCATCTGTGCAGACAGTTGCCCTTGTCTCTGTTTATGTATTTCCAGTTCCAGACGACCAGCCATACTGCCTAGGGCTTCTAGCTCTTTGTCCCAAATTTTTGGACAGAGGATTTCATTGACATAATTTTGGTAAAATGTTCACCGCAACTTACCAGCAGTGACAAGGGAGTACAGGGTTGCCTACTACCCAAGTGTTAAGGGGTAGGAACAGCAAGGGAGAGTTGGACAAGTACTGTGGTGACAACCCAGTATTAATCCCCAGTCATTTGTTTTCAGTGGGAGGTAGAGAAGTTGAGGACAACAGAAGGAAATAGAAACCTGTGGCCTGTGAGGGTGCATCACAGAGGATGCCTGGAATGCCTTCTTTTTTTTAATATATATACATTTTTTTGAAAGAGTTACACAGAAGAAGAGACAGTGAGAGAGATCTTCCATCTGCTGGTTCACTCCCTAAGTAGCTGCAACAGCTGGGGCTGTGTTAGGCCAAAGGCAGGAATCAGGAGCTTCTTTCAAATCTCCCATGTGGGTGCTGGGGCCCAAGCACTTGGGCCATCTTCCACTGATTTCCCGGGCACATTAGCAGGGAGCTGGATCAGAAGTGGAGCAGCCAGGTCTTGAACCAGTGCGTATATGGGATGCTGGTGTCACACGTGGTGGCTTTACCTGCTGTGCCACAGTGCCAACCCATGCCTCCAGCTCTGATTTGGCATCTGCTAGTTTTGTGGGATAATGCATGAAGAGCTTGAATTCATACATACCAAATTCCAGATGCCAAAGTGATTATGTCAGAAATTAAAATCGTATGTTTTTAGTTTTTAAAATTCAAAAGGAAAGAAATACTGAATGTCTAATTCCCAGTAAAGTTATATTGATCAATGCTTTGAGACATGTTCCCCCCTCCCTTTTTTTTTAATATAACAGTAAGGGTTTATTCTAAAGGTGTACATGAAAGAGTGTACATATGAGTATTTTAAAAGGTTTGTAAGCTAAGTTCATTCTGGGAGTGAACTGGGATTTTGGATGATAGTGTGGGCTTTAGTTGTACGTAATGATTTTTTCCCCAAGCACTAGGATAGAGAATTGGCATGTAACTACAAATGGAATTTTTAGTTTTAGGGTTTTTTTTTTAATTATTTTTAAAAAAGATTTATTATTTACTTGAAAGAAAGGACTTGACTGGGTCAAAGACAGGAGCCAGAGCTTCATTTCAGTCTCCCACATGGATGGCAGAGGCCCAAGCACTTGGGCCATCTTCTGCTGCTGACATTTTAGGAGACAGCTTAACCAGCCCCTACATTGGAATTATTAAATGACTTTAGATTAGTACCTTCATAACGTGGTGACAGTCCAGCTTCAGGAGTCATCGTGGAAGTGTCAGCTTTTGTTCGAATCTCTTCACATAGGCTGTTTTTTTTTTTCCTTCCAGGCTATGTGCTCCTCAACCTACTGATATAATTATCGATCCAATGTGTGGAACAGGAGCAATACCAATAGAGGTAATAACTTTTCGTTAGCTGTCAGATAAGCAGGTGATAGATAGATCCAGTATGTTGCTTACTGGGCAAATCACCCAGGTTGAGGCTGTGGACTCACGAGTTTCAGAAGAATCACAGCAGTGAAGTTGCAACTTGCGGGTAAAGAACAATAACAACTCAAGTAAAATAGCCAAGTGCCACAGAGCTAGATAGCACTGTCAGTTCACTGGGTTACAGAGGAGCCCGAGGGTTAGAACCCGTGGGTGAGTTCCCTCTCTGTTAACAGACAGGCTGGTAGACTTGAAGGCAGAGCAGAAACTAGGGGAAGGTGGTTTCCATTTCTGTGAGCTGACTTTACGTTTCTAATCTTCTTAGGTTCCAGGAGGGAGTAAGAATAAGGGTACTTCAGAAAGGTCATGGAAAATGGGATTAAAGGCGAATTTATTTTGGCAAAAAAAATTAAGTTCATGCATAGTTTTTCATAAGATACATTTTTCATGAACTTTTTGAAAACTTCTTCCTTATTTGCATGGGAACCAACTGCAGGGGGATTCCCCAGAGTCATGAGTGGGCAGAAACTGAACAGATGAGCAAGCCCAGAGCAACCCACAGAGGGAAAATTAATCCATCCTTCAGTAAGAAAATGGACATCTGTGATGTGGGAGTTGAAGACCATAAAGGAAATCAGACTTGTTTATGAGACAGGTGGAGAAATCACCCTGGCTGAAGAGCCCTGCACAGGGAGAACCGAGGTGTGGTCACGAGTTCTGGGCACAGAGCACAATGTTGTTGAGCAGTCGACCCTGGTGTGTCTGCGAAACTCATGTCAAGAACAAGACTACAGGGGCCGGCGCCGTGGCTCACTTGGTTAATCCTCCACCTGCGGCGCCGGCATCCCATATGGGTGCCGGGTTCTAGTCCTGATTGCTCCTCTTCCAGTCCAGCTCTCTGCTGTGGCCTGGGAAGGCAGTGGATGGTGGCCCAGGTGCCTGGGCCCCTGCACCTGCATGGGAGACCAGGAGGAAGCACCTGGTTCCTGGCTTCTGATGGGCACAGCGCCAGCTGTAGTGGCCATTTGGGGAGTGAACCAACGGAAGGAGGACCTTTCTCTCTGTCTCTCTCTCTCAGTGTCTATCTGTCAAATAAATGAATGAATGAATAAATAAATAAATAAGGAACAAGACTACAAAGCCAGAGAACAGAGGCCAAAAGAGAACCAAGGAGAGGTGTTAGCTATTTCTCTATAAAAGGAGACATAAGGAGCCAGTGTGGAAAAACCTAAGCTGAATTATGATCACAGTGAGCAAGATTACTTTACTTCTAAAAATTTATATGTTTCTTGGAGAGGCACTTTAATGAGAGAGAGCTTCCAATCTGCTGGTTTCCTCTCCAACTGGCCACAATGGCCAGAGCTGAGCCAGGAGCCTGGAGCTCCTTCTGTGTCTCCCACGTGAGTGACAAGGGCCCAGCCACTTGGGCCATGTTCTGCTGCTGTCCCCAGCATGTTGGCAGGGAGCTGGATTGTGGAGCGGCTGGAACTTGAACTGATGATCATATGGGATGCTGACATCACAGGAAGTAGCTTAACCTGCTTTGCTACAACTCCAGCCCCTGAAATGAGTAAGATTATGAAAAGGACTGGCAAGGTACACTGTCCAGATCTCTTCACCAAAGTATAAAATACTTATGTAGAATACTCTTTAAGCAGTACTACAAACCCAAATCTTTCCAAAACTGAAAAGCAAATCTTTTTTTTTTTTTGGCTGCCTTTTTCACTTTTTCACTCTGTTTTCTGTGGTATACTTTAGGTTTAAAAAAAAAATGTAGGGGAGTCAGAATCCTTTGAGAGGTTTCCTCTAACCCTGTAGGCTGCATCTGCAGTCCGCTCACCCCACATTGGCATGTGTCTCTTCTGTTAGACGCCATTGCAGGCTTCCAGACAGGCGTATGTCCCCCCGTCCAGTATCTGGGCAGGAGACGGAGTGAGGAAGCACCATATCCAGGGTGAGCAGCATTCTACTGTCAGCAAAGAGGGAGGGCTTTGCACTCATCCTGCGCATAGGGCAGAGCCTTCTCTGCTTTATGTCGGAAACTTCCGTCACTGCACCAAACGTGACTCAGGCATAGGACAGCACGCCTCATCCTTTCACAATTCATATGTGACATTCTGGTATTCGTTTTCTGCCAACATGACTTACTTAAAATTACAAAATCTTCTCGGGGATATGGTAGTTGTCACTCAAAAATGTTTATCAGAAGAGGAGATTGCATTTTACTTTGAAATTCTCAGATAATCTAATATATCCAATTAAACTCACAACCACAGAGGAATACAAGTTTGGTCAGTTTGATTTGGATAATTGTTTTTAATTTAATTTCTTTGTTTATTTGAGAAGTAGGTTGAGAGTGAGCTTGTATCCAGTGGTTCACTCCACAGATGCCCTCAGTGGAGGGCTGAGCCAGGCCCAAACTGGAAGCTAGGCATTTCGTCCCTGTGTGGGCAACAGAAACCCAATTACTGAGCCGTCTGCCTCCCAGAATCTGCCGTAGCAGGATGCCGACACCAGGAGCTAGAAACAGGCATCAAACCCTGCCACTCTGATGTAGGATTTTGGTGTCTTAACTACTAGACTAAATGTCAGTCTCTGGCGAATGTTTCTTTTTTCTTTTCTTTTCTTTTTTTTTTTTTTTTTGACAGAGTGGATAGAGAGAGAGAGACAGAGAGAAAGGTTTTCCTTTTGCCGTTGGTTCACCCTCCAATGGCTGCCACGGCTGGCGCACTGCGGCCGGCGCACCGCGCTGATCCGATGGCAGGAGCCAGGTGCTTCTCCTGGTCTCCTATGGGGTGCAGGGCCCAAGCACTTGGGCCATCCTCCACTGCACTCGCGGGCCACAGCAGAGAGCCGGCCTGGAAGAGGGGCAACCGGGACAGAATCCGGCGCCCTGACCGGGACTAGAACCCGGTGTGCCGGCGCTGCAGGCGGAGGATTAGCCTATTGAGCCGTGGCACCGGCATGGCGAATGTTTCTAAATCATGTTTATTTGGGGACTGTAATGCCTTGTCTGTGCCAGGCACTGGTGGGTGAGAAACTTAATAAAGTACTAGGCTGTCCTGGGGACGCTCCTGGATGAGCAGACAGATACAGAAGTAATTAAAAATGGTGTAGCAGAGGAACCCTCCACTTGGCATGCCCATATTACATATCGGAGCACTTGTTCAAGTTCCTGCTGCTCTTCTCCTGATCCAGCTTCCTGCTAATGTGCCTGAGAAGTCAGTGGAAGATGACCCAAGTACTTGGGTCTCTGCAACCCATGTAGTAGATCAGGATGGAGTTCCTGGCTCCTGGCTCTTAGCCTGCCTCAGACCCTGTCTGTTGTAGGCATTTGGGAAGTGAAGCAATGGATGAAGATCTCCCTGCCTGACCCCCTCTGTTGCTCGTCCTTTAATAAAAGTAAACAAATCTTTTTATTTTATTTTATTTATTTTAAAGAGTTACAGAGAGAGGTAGAAACAGAGAGAGAGGTCTTCCATCCACTGGTTCACTCCCCAGATAGCTGCAACAGACTGAGTGCCAATCCAAAGCCAGGAGCCAGGAGCTTCTTCCGGGTCTCCCACATGGGTACAGGGGCCCAAGGACCTGGGCCATCTTCTGCTGCTTTCCCAGGCCGTAGCAGAGAGCTGGATTGGAAGAGGAGCAGCCGGGACTAGAACCAGCACCCATATGGGATGCCGGCACTTCGGGCCAGGGCTTTAAGACACTGTGCCACAGCGCCGCCCCCCCCCCCTTTTTTTTTTTATTTTATTTTGACAGGGTTAGACAGTGAGAGAGAGAGACAGAGAGAAAGGTCCTCCTTCCGTTGATTCATACCCCGCCCCCCCACCCCCCCAAATGGCTGCTATGGCCGGCGCTGCGATCTGAAGCCAGGAGCCAGGTACTTCTTGGTTTCTGACGTGGGTGCAGGCGCCCAAGCACTTGGGCCATCCTCTACTGCCCTCCCAGGCCACAGCACAGAGCTGGACTGGAAGAGGAGCAACCAGGACTAGAACCCGGTGCCCATATGGGATGCTGGCGCTGCAGGCGGAAGATTAACCAAGTGAGCCACGGTGCTGGCCCAGTAAACAAATCTTCTAAAGAGAAGAAGAAAGAAGGAAAAGAGGAAGGATTAAAAATGGAACTACAGAGGCCAGTGCTGTAGTGTAGCAGTTAAAGCTGCCGCCTGCAGTGCCAGCATCCCATATGGGCGCCATGTTTAGACCTGGCTGCTCCACCTCCTATCCAGCTCTCTGCTATGGCCTGGGAAAGCAATGGAACATGGCCCAACTCCTTGGGCCCCTGTACCCACGTGGGAGACCCAGATGAAGCTCCTGGCCCCTGGCTTCAGATCAGCTCAGCTCCAGCCATTGCAGCCAACTGGGGAGCAACCAGTGAATGGAAGACCTCTCTCTTTCTCTGCCTCTCCTTCTCTCTTTGCATAACTCTAACTTTCAAATACATTAATCAGTCTTAAAAAAAAATTTAACTACAGCCGGGACAGGATAGTACAGAGTGCTTGTTTGGAGGAGCCGTTGAGAGACAGCTTGCACAGTTGGGTTGGTATCACAGAAGTTTGACATGTGAGCTGGGTCTTGAGAGACCGCCGGGAATTCAGCAGGCAGAGAAGTAGCAGGAGAACATTTCCAGGAAGGGAAATCGCAGACTTGACAGCACGCCAAGGACTGGATCGGATTGTCTTATTACAGTTGATTGAAATAGTTTGCCGCTTCTGGCTTAATATATACTCTTGTCTTTTAGGGGGCTACCGAATGGTCCAACTGTTTCCATATTGCGGGTGACAATAATGCCCTGGCTGTGAATAGAGCGGCAAATAACATCGCATCTTTACTGACCAAGAGCCAAATTAAAGAAGGGTAAAAATTTAATTGTAAAGATTTTGTAGCATCTTTTAGACTTCACCATTTTTCACTGACATCCGTATAACCAAAATGAACATGAGATGTTATTTAATTTTATTGAAAATATTTTTTATTTTAAAACTTTTTTTGAGTATACTTTCCTTAACCTAAAGCAACTTTTTATTTCTGTTCTCATTTATCTTTTCTTATTCATATTTTTCCCCACATAGTCTGAGTATGGATTCATCTTTATTTTCCAAATTTTAAAGCATTTTTTGTGTTTTTACTTAGTCTGTGTTTTAAAAAAAATTTATTTGTCAATTTGAAAGGCAGAGATACATAGAAGAGAGAGGCAGAGAGCAGTCTGCCTACTCTGGATCACTCCCTAAATGGCCGCAACAGCTGGAGGGGGTCTGTTCAGAAGCCAGGAGCCAGTAGTTTCTTCTGAGTTCCCACGCATGTGCAGGGGCCCAAGCACTTGGGCCATCTTCCACTGCTTTCCCAGGCCATAAGAAAAGAGCTGGATCAGAAGTGGAGCAGCCAGGACTCGATCCAGTGCCCATAGGGGATGCAGTGGCTCAAACCACTGTGCTTCAATGCCACCTCCTAGGTAGACCATTTTTTAAAATACTGCATAATATCCCAGTATATAGAACTCTACAGCACTTATTCGTGTTGCAGGCTTATTTTCCTCTAAATTTGCTGTGTTAAATCACACATTAAATAGATGCCAACATCTTTAGAAAACCAACCTTCACTATTCATTAATTCCTCATCATTGTTACAGACACGCCACTTAAGTCATTGTAGAACTTTTATCTTCTGACCTTATGCTTTCTTCCTACAGTTACTTGATTAAATTGTTGATGTTCTCACTAATATCCTTAGCCTCTTTTACTTTGGAACAGAGGTTGCTTCTCAGAAATAACCTTTTTCTCAATGTTCTATTTCAGAGCATACTTAGGCACCTTTTCCTTTGTTTCCACAGCAGCCCCTCCTGGGGCTTGCCCATCGACACTGTTCAGTGGGACATCTGCAGTCTGCCCCTGAGAACTGGCTCTGTGGATATTATTGTAACAGATATGCCATTTGGAAAGAGGTACGAATGGTGGGGTTTTTTTAATGAGCCTTACTTTCACCTATTATTACTAGTACCCACTTGTCTTCTGTCAGTATTTTCTTTGAACTAATTTAGCAGAGTGAACCAGTGGATGGAAGATCAGTCCACCTCTGTCTTTCAAATAAAATAAACATTTCTTATGATTCAAAATTCTAAGCTATTTACCAATACCTTATTTTATAGACTGTATATACAAAGGTAAAGTTCATGGAAACTGAATTTTGGTATTAGATAATTCTTATTTTGATATAATTCTTTTTAAAAATTTATTTGGGGCTGGCGTTGTTTCATAGCAGGTAAAAGCTGCCACCTGAGATGCTGGCATCTCATATGGTTGCCAGTTCATGTCTTGGCTGTTCCGCTTCGATGCAGCTCCCTGCTAGTGGCCCAGGGAAAGCAGCAGAGGATAGCCACGCTTATGCCCCTGCCAACTATGTGGGATACCCAAAAGAAGCTCCTGACTTCAACTTGGCCCAGCCACTGGTACAGCCCTGGCTATGGCAGCCGTCTGGGTGGTGAACCAGTGGCTGGGCCAAGCCAAAGCCAGGAGCCAGGAACTTCCTCCGAGCATCCCACATAGGTGTGGCCCAAGCACTTCAGCTATTTTCTGTTGCTTTCCCAGGCTCAGCAGCAAGAAGCTGAGTTGGAAATGGAGTAGCTGGGACTTGAGCTAGTACTCATATGGGATGCCAGTGTTAAAGGCAGCAGCTTAACCCACTGTACAACATGGACTCCCATGTAAAATATTTTTAAAATTCATGCAGTTTTATCATAATACACATTTTTAGATACCTATCTTTTGCTACATTTTTTTATAGGATGTTTTTTATTTGACAGAGTTAGTGAAAGAGAGAGAGTTTTGCTACTTTTTTTGACAGGCAGAGTTAGACAATGAAAGAGAGACAGAGAAAGGTCTTCCTTTTTCCGTTGGTTCACCCTCCAAGTGGCTGCTATGGCCAGTGCGTTGCGGCCGTTGCGCTGCGCCAATCGGAAGCCAGGAGCCAGGTACTTCTCCTGGTCTCCCATAGGGTGCAGGGCCCAAGCACTTGGCCACAGCAGAGAGCTGAACTGGTAGAGGAGCAACGGGGACAGAATCCAGTGCCCCAACCAGGACTAGAACCCGGTGTGGCAACACTGCAGGCAGAGGATTAGCCTAGTGAGCCATGGCGCCGTCCGCTACATTTTGTTAAAAATACATATTTGAAAGGCAGTTACAAAGGAGAGACACACAGAGATCTTCCATCTGCTGGTTTACTCCCTAAATGGCTGCGATGGCTTGGGCTGGGCCAGGCTGAAACCAAGAGCTAAGAGCTTCCTCCAGGTCTCCTATGTGGGTGCAGGGGCCAAGCAGTGGAGCCATCTTCTGCTGCAGCCAGAACTCAAACCAGCACCCATATGGGATGCCCACATTGGAGGCAAGGACCACAGCATTGGCCCTGTTTTGCTACATTAAGTGCTTAACTCATCAGACCTTCTTTTGTAGGATGGGCTCTAAGAAGAGAAACTGGAACCTTTATCCAGCTTGCCTACGGGAGATGAGCCGTGTTTGTAGACCTGGGACAGGCCGAGCTGTACTACTTACTCAGGACAAAAAATGTTTTACCAAGGTGATGGACCATCTCAGCCTGTGGTGGCTTAGATCTTTTTAGGTGCACCTGGGGATGTGAGTTTCATGGGATTTGGGTTGTCTTCCCTGAATCCTTCTTAAATGGCACCTAAGATCTGGGTTGATTCCCAAGCAGATTGTTGGCCTAATTGCTTTTCTGTTTTTTGTGTGTACACAGGCGTTATCTGGAATGGGACATGTATGGCGAAAGGTACATACAGTCTGGGTGAACATTGGCGGTCTTCATGCTGCAGTTTATCTTCTGAAACGCACACCTCAAGCTTTTGTTCATCCTTCAGAACAAGATGGAGAGAGAGGAACTCCTTGGTAATGTGGAGTGAAGATGCTTCATAGCATTTGTACTTCCCAACACTGGAAATGTCAACATGAAGAACTTGCTTTGAGAGGACAATGAGATTAAGAAAAGTCTACTCTATTTCAACTTGTGAGGAAGCAGAGCTTTTCCTTGGAGCTGTTTTGAAGGGGTAGCTGGGCGATTAGTATTTTTCTTAAAATGCTTTAAAGCTGTTTAGTGAAGACCCTCATAAAATTGTTCTGGAATTTTGGTTTTGTTTTTTCAGGTTTTATAGTCAGTTATCCGTTGTGTCGAGGGGAATACCTATTAGGTAGCCTGTTAGGCCGTGTCTTTACTGCCTTTGCAGCTTTGCTGTTCAAAAGCTTAAGTTCTGTTTATCTGAACCTCAAAAAATGGATCATCATTACATTTTGTGAAGTGTTTGTCATGTGACAAGGTGAAATCTTGAGACCTATAGAAAAGCTTACTCTCTGCCTTAAAAATTAAACTATGTGCTTGTAACTGAGATTAGTACATAGAACAAAAACAGAAGGCTCGGATTTATGAAAGGGATGTCTGTAAATTGCAGCAGACATATTGATACATGAAGTACGGGCAAACAAGCTCTATTTTAAAACTTTTGTTGCAGTACACAAATGATGTATTGCTTTTCATGTCAGAGTGTTTTCTTTTATTGTTGATATCTTAAAAGGAGAGAAAAAAGGAGGTATCTGAATGAAAACGTGTCAGTTGGGAGTCATGAAAGAGGTCATTTTTTCCTATTTTCTCCTGGATCTGTCTGTGCTCACATTTAGTTCCTTTTCCAGTTGTTAACAAGTCTTTCCTCAAAGAATTTTTTGGAAAAAGAAATAAGCACGTATTGGGTCCTTGTAAAATGGTGTTTCCATAAGCAAAGAGTAGTTGAGTTTTGATGTGGAATTCTTTATAATATTCTTAAAGCGTTTAGTTTGGGTTATTTGGCTGCATTTAGTTTCTGTGTCATTTCATAGGACTACTTATACTACCCGTTGGTGTCTCCATTTGGAGTAAACGGACACAGTACCTCCATCATTTCAAACAGCATTCACGTGAACAGCGTAGGCAACAACCCCAGCTTGTTTTCTCTCTGATCTACCCCACAGTTCAGAATGACTTGGAAGTAAAACATGGATGAAGGTTTTGTATTCTAGACTTCGAGACTGCATTTTCACTGTTATTCAGATAAACCATTGAATTATTTGTGGGTTATGCATAGGTTTTTCTCCTCTAACTAACCAAACCATTTAAACCTCAAATGATGGTTGGTCCGCAATCTGCCAAACCAGAAAGTGCAAGGACCATGTCTCTGTTCACCAAAGTGCTTGGCACAGTACCTGCCTCCGAAGGGACCTTCTATACCTGAACAATTAAAATATTTTTTTGATATTAGCTTAGTGCTTTTGCCATCTTTCTCCCTACTTTGTAGTTCTGCAGTTTGTTGACTAGGCGATGGGCTCTGAACAAGATTCAGAAGTCCTGGAAATGAGCTATGACATTTCGTTCTCCAAGTTGTTTTTACCTTCTAAGTGGGTCTCTTGGACCACAGTAATGGGGAATAAAATCTAATAATGTAGAAAAAAAATCTAACCATGCGAATGCACAGGGAACAGCTGAGTTACATACCACAGTCTATTCTTGGTAATAAGTTCATATATCTTTTTCAAGGGGTAAAATAAAGCAAGACTTTAGAAACCTAAAACAGTCTCTCCCAAGACTCTAACACTAGTGATTTGTGAGAGAACATTTTTGTTTATGCTTCCTTTGACATGGTAATAAGGCTTTCAAGAAACTCCCAAAACCATAGACCTTGGCCTAGGTCAGATAGGAGCCCAGGTCTCCCTGCAGGCTGAGGTGAGTTAAAGAATGGGGAAAAAAAAGTGGTGCTGGTGGTGGTGATTTTCAGAGGTTTGTAAAGTACCTGAAGTACAATTAAGCCTCTCTAAGTGCTAATATTCATTTGTGAGCTAGGCTTAGGAAAATAATCATTGCACAGCCTTCGCCAAGAAGTTCAGGTCAGGTGTCACAGATGAAGTTGAGTAGGAATATGGTGAAATTTTGAAAATTATGAGGGGAAAAAAATCTTACTGTACCTTGTATGTAACAGTTCAGAAGCACCATATAGACCTATAAACGGAATGCTTACATATATATGATATAGGAAGAATGTACAATCATGCAGGCTTGCCTTGTCATTCTTTGGCCCTGGGGCTAAGTTTCCTAATCAGAGGACAGTTAGTCAGACAGACATTTATGGCAGCAATTTTCACTGGAAAGAATGGTATGGCTTCTATAAAGCCAAAATTCTGAATTCCCTGCTTAGCATTCCACGTCCTCGGTATAACTCAACCTGTCTTTAACAATAAGACATGCTCCTGACTAGGCAGGCTTACTACTGGGAGTCATTTTTACTATATCCAGTTATCAACAGGCAGTTGAGTGTATTATAGCTGGAGCAGTCATTCTGAAACCTTAACATTCCTAAAAACTGAGAACAACACATTGTTACCCTGCTAGAAATTTAAGTATTATAGTAACAGATTTATGTTAACATTTCCATGGAACTTTGCAAAAAAAAAAAAAAAAAAAGAGACTAACATAGTACTATACAAGAAGTTCTTGTAGATGTCTAGCTTAATAGAAGATAAGACTCAAACCAGCACCCATAAGGGATGCTGGCACTGCAGGCCGTGGCTTTACCTGCTGTGCCACAGCGCCAGCCCTTGAATTTTTACGTATTGATCATTTGGATAGTTCACTGTTACGTACATACTCCAAAAGACGCCTGGCTTCATTACAAAATAACATTATATAATCATTAATACAACCTATCGTGATTGGGAAGTTTTCAAGACACCTGATAGTCTTACTCTGATGAGTCTGGATTTTAGCACAACTTCTGTCAACTGTGTTCCTTAACAACTTCATCTCCTTTGCCCAGGAACCAATTCTGAATAACCAAAAGTTTTGTCACTGACTCCTGTGGTTTGATGCCCTTTTACTTGGTGTTGCCCTTTCACAGCTAGTGCACACATGTAGTTAAGGATAAACCCATGAGACTTAAGTTACCTCATACTGTCTAAGGACTTGTGTTTCTTGCCAAACTTTCACATATAAGAGTTGTTTCTGATGAGCTGATGCATATGCCTGGCAATCATGAGCTAAGTCCAGCCTTGTTTGTAGACCCATCTGTTTCTGAATCCCTCCTAAAGACCATTACACCTGCACACAAACCTGTTACCTGCTACACCAAATCCCCACTCCTGCAAGCCATGCTTTAATGCAAAAGCTGCCATTGTACTTCCAGTTTAGTTGCCATTTTTCACTTGCCTTTCCTCCAGCAGGTACTCAGGAATAAGAACTGCAAGGATTCTTAACATCTCAGCTATTTGTGTTTCTCAAGCTGACTTCTGCAGTTAACTCTTGTATGATGATACTGCACTTCTAGCCTGAAAAGCTGTACTGTTTTCTTTCAAGGAGTCACATTTTATACATCCAGTGCCTTTCCAACAAGGTTTCCTAATGACTGCACAACAGCAGTGACCCTGCTTTGTAAGACACAGGGAGGTAAGTTTAGTATCATCTAAGTCACCTTTCACTTTTATCAGTTCTTTCCCTCCCCAAGTCAATCTTGCTTTCCAGTGTTTTAAAAACATGATGTGAATGGTGGTTTAACAAGTTGATTTTACTGAAGTCCCTGATCCATTCTTAAATAATAAAAACAAACTTATTTTAGAGTAAGGTTCCCAAATACTAAAACTTTAATAATATTTGGAAATTTGGGAGAAAATACATAAAACACTGCAGAAGTACTTATGTTTGAGAAGGAAAACTACAGGATTTTAAAATAACTTGTACAGTTCATAGTACTATTCATTAACATGATTACAGTTTGTAGCCTCAGTGCACACTTTTTAGGAATAAATGATAAAAGGCAAATATCTTGGTATTATGGAAAGTCTTGACCTCGAAGACCACCTTGTGCTTAGGCAACAAAGACACAGCCAGTCAAGTGTCGTCCCACTCAAGTAACCTAAAATAGGGAACAAAAAAGAATTGCACAATTACTACCTTAATTACAGCTGTGACAAGTCAAATGGGGAACCCAGGGTTGTACGGGTGAGGCCATCAAAGGCTTTCTTGAGATGCTTCTGCTTAGCTGCGTGGTTTCTGAGTGCTATCAGGCCACCTCATTTCGTGTGGCCTCTGCGTGCTCACTGGTCCCCAGCTTCCACACTTCTGTATCCAGCAGCTGTGTGCATGCAATCAGAGACGGATACTACACGTCAGTCAGACCCAACGGGCGGGGCCCGCACCTGCAGCACCAGCATCCCATACAGGCACTAGATGGAGGCCCAGCTGCCCCACTTTCTTCATTTTATTTATTTATTTTTTGACAGGCAGAGTGGACAGTGAGAGAGACAGACAGAAAGGTCTTCCTTTTATCGTTGGTTCACCCTCCAGTGGCCGCTGCGGCCGGCACACCGCGCTGATCCGAAGCCAGGAGCCAGGTGCTTCTCCTGGTCTCCCATGGGGTGCAGGGCCCAAGCACTTGGGCCATCCTCCACTGCACTCCTGGGCCACAGCAGAGAGCTGGCCTGGAAGAGGGGCAACCGGGACAGAATCTGGTGCCCCGACCAGGACTAGAACCCGGTGTGCCGGCACCCCAGGCGGAGATTAGCCTAGTGAGCCGTGGTGCTGGCCCCCACTTTCAATCCAGTTCCCTGCTAGTGTCTGGGAAAGCAGCAGAACTTGGCTGAAGTGCCTGGGCCCCAGCACCCACTTGGGATACCTCGAAGCTCCTGGCTCCTGTGGCCATTTGGGGTGTGAACCAGTGAATGGAAAGCACCTCTGCCCCTGCCTCAAAAAAAGACCAACTGTCAGACCCAAGTTCCAACACCTGGCCTTCAATTTGTTGGTGCACCCATGAGAAGGTTGCTTGATTTCACTGAGCTTCAGTTTTGCACTGTGTAAAGTGGGCACAGCTAGTTAAGCAGTTACCCAGTATCAGAGTGCTGGTTTGAGTCTGGGCTGCTCAGCTTCAAGCCAGCTCCCCAGTGCACCTGGGAAGCCAGCAGATGAATGATGGCCACCCACATTTGAAACCAGAATAGAGTTCGTAGCTTCAGCCTAGCCCAGCTCTGGCTGTTGGAGGAATCTTGGGGGAGTGAACCAATAGATGTAAATGTCTGCTTCTGAAATATTTTTTTAAAGTAGCACATTATTTATTATACAGACATTCAGCAAATATTATTTCTAACCTACCTGTTACCAAATAATGTTTGCATATTATCATATACTAGAATGTTCCTATCATTTGTTAGAGTAAGTAATTCCTTACTCTGCAATGAGATTTTAATCAAAGGTCAGCAAAGAAGAGAGGCTATGAAAACTCTTGACTGAGTTGACCAGAACCCACACACAAGAGGTGGATGTAATGAGATGATAAAGCAACTAATTCTGTACATGATTTAAAGACGTCTTCCTGTTTTCAGTAGGAAAAACAAATCTTAAAACTTTTTTAAGCAGACAAACCAAATATCTAAAGTATCAAGACAAACCTGTGTGGAATGAACTAAAAAGGTGAGAAACAGGCAGAAATAGTATCTCCAGTCACCATAAAGATATACTCGATAAAAGCAGGAAGAATTTCCTGGTGTCAAAAACAAAAAACAAAAAAACCCTAAATGTTGATTTCATACCTGCTCACAGCTAGTAATCGCTTCTTACCACTCCATCAAGAAAGGGAGACAGCTGTAGCTTTTCAGCAGAAGCCTGTCCCCTAAACTAGCATGCCATTAGGTAACCCACAAAATCAAGAATTCTCAACCTGCACAGTCAAGTACCACACTCCTGGATTGGTAACTTAACAAGAGTCAGGGCCAGCACTGTGGGTTAGTGGGTAAAGCTGCTGCCTGCAATACTGACATCCCTATGTACAACAGTTCGAGTCCCGGTTCCTCCACTTCCAATCCAGCTCTCCTATGGCCTAGGAAAGCAGTAGAAGACAGTGCAAGTCCTTGTGCCCATGCACCCACATCAGAGACCTGGAAAAAGCTTCTGGCTTCTGACTGGTGCAGCTCCAGCCCTTGCGGCCAACTGGGGAGTGAACCAGCAGACGGGAGACCTCTCTCTCTCTGCCTCTCCTACGCTCTTGGTGTAACTCTGACTTTTCAAATGTATAGATTTTTTTAAAGCATCCTAACTTGTTCATTCAAGTACAAACGTTTAATATAATGAATTTCTGTCCTCTAAGAAACAGTATGCAGGAGTTCACAAACAGAGGTAGCTGGTTTATTTAAGACAAAAAAGCTCAAGGAAGTCAAGCACAGAAGATTACAGTGATGGTTAGAACAGGAAACCCAAGAAAAAGCTGCATGCTCCTCGAGACCATGAGGCCCGAGTTTCATCTATGAATAGAATATCAGGCGACTTAAGTATGACTCCAAGTTCCTCCATGAGCTGAACCTTCCTTCTATGTTTTGTGGGTTTAAATGACTATTCACAAACCAATTTCACAAAAGCAACATTTATTAAACTCCCAGCTGTGCCTAGACCCAAAGAATTAAATCACCATGTCCTTAAGGAGTGTAACTTAGATTCATACTATCACACAAATTTTTCTTGTTCAAAAAAGCAATTTAAAAGCATTTTTTAAAGTATTTTTAAAAAGTTTTTAAAAAGAGAGTCTCAAAAAAGAATTAAACAAAATCCTTGCTTTTCAATGTTTTCCCACTGCCTGTTTTTGGAAAAATGAAAATATTTCAGTTGGTGAAAAACTGAGGGCCAAAAAAGCATAGTTTCTATGAAGTTGTAACCATTTCTGTCAGGAAAACAGGCCTAGCACCTCACTGCAGCTACTCTGCAGTACAGACACAGCACTTGAAAAGATGCAGAATGCTAGCGCTTGCCCCTGGGGATGCCACACACACACTGTGAATTTATCGTCTCTGGATGTGGGACTGAGAACCTGCACTACACAGAAAGGCAACTGTCTGAGAGCTCTCTCTGAACACCGAAGCTCTGAAGAATACTGTCCTTGGGGTGTCTTTCCCATCAGACTTTTAAAAGTCTTATAAAAAAAAAAACACACACACAGTTGAAGGCATGGGCATTGTGGTAAAGCACGTTAGGCTAGTTTTCAAAGATGTTAAATTGCAGTATCAGAGGGCATCACACTTCAGATCCAGGTTCCTACTATCATGGTGAGGAAGCTGCACTTCCACCCACATGGGAGACCAGGACAGAGCTCTGGTCCAGCCCTGGCTGTTGCATACATTTGGGGAGTGAACCAGAGGATGGAAGCTCTCTGTGGCACTCTCCCTCTGCCATGCAAATGAATAAATATTTGAGGGGTGTGTGTTGAGCTTAGTGGTTAGATGTCCATGTCCCACTTCCTGGCTTTGGCTCTTGTCTCCAGCCTCCTAATGTAAAGGCACTGGCTTAAGTAACTTAAGTAACCATGCTCCTGTCACTCTCACGGCAGACTAAAAGTTCCTGGCTCCACCCACAGCAGGCATCTCGGGAGTAAACCAGCAAATGGAAGTTCTTGTGTGCTCCTCTCTGCTTCTCAAGTAAATAAAATTTAACAATGTCTAATTCAAATTTATAAATGCTACAAAAATACTTAAGAAGCATTTGGTATTAAAATACACCAATATTTGTACTTCTTCAGAATTAAACTTACTTTGTGGGAATCTGTCATTCAAAATGTTTTAGGGCTCCTTTGAAGTTTTTTCCAAAATTAAATATTCACAGGGCTTGAATTTAGGGCTGAATTAACATCAGATATTCTGACGTTATTCTATTACTGAATGACTATTCCTAATTAAGCTTCCGTGACTTTTGATTATGCACCTCTCATCATAGCCTAATGAAATCTCACCTCTTTAAATCTGCTTGAAACCCAAACTAATCAACATTTTTCTCAACACACTGTTGTCCAAACAAGTTTCATCATTAAGAATGGCCTGTTGTATTTAGATTCCAGCCAATTAAAGCTTAGTATACAAACAGGCAAAATAAAAGTTAAAAGAAAAAATTTAAATGGGTTACCCCATGGTATGAAGAAAAATTATCACTATGTCCAAATTCTGTAACCACAATGTTAAGTTATGGCTATTTACACCGTCCAGAGTGATAACTGAAATAAAATTAATAATTTAGCACTTTAAAACACCAGTCATATTCCCAGAGCTTGAGAACACCACATAATTAGTGGCTGCTATAGTAGGACAGCAGCGACAGACTATTTGCATCAGTGCAGAATGTTCTACTGGACAGTACTAACCAGAGCGTTAGCAAGCACACAAAGAGCTGCTAGAGACCCATAAAACACCAGACCTTATAAAGACATCCACATGTATGTTGCTCACTCCACTTTACTGAGGACTGGCTAGACATCAAGCAATGTCCTAGGAGCGTAGGAGTCCATGAACTGTGTCTCAAGAAGCTCAGAACAGTTAAAATGCATCTGCACTAGCATCAGCCACCAACTGAATAATGCCAAGATTTAAGTCAAGGGTGGGAACATCCAATTTGGTTTGGCCTTGCCAAGGCAACAGCAGGCAGGATTCTAAGTTCAATAAATCTATAGCAGGTTAATTTTTAAGTTGATAATTTTGTATGGCCCATGAATGATGTTATAAATTGCCAAATGGCCCTTGGCAGAAAAAAGGTTCCCCACCCCAGATAAGCAAACAAGCTGGTGAGGATCAAGAGAAAGCAGTGCTAGACCTTTAAATGAGGGAGCCTTGCTCACAGAACGGATTATAGAATCCAAGAACGCAGGGGGACAGAGCCCGACTCTCAAGTCTGGAAAGGTGAGGAAAAGGAGGAGTAGCACTCCTGAAGGAGACACCCTGCTGGCAATGCCCGATCCCTGTCAGCCACCAGTCCTGGGAGTTCGGATGGGGAAACGCCAACAAACCTCGAAGCCGGTACAAAGTTGAGGCCAGCCTCCCGAGGGGCCTCCGGCACCCCGACCAGGACACAGCAGCAGTGACTCCCACCTCACGACTGGAGGCGAACACACAGAACGCCGGCTAACAGCAATACAGGATGGCCCGAAGAATCCCAGTGGGGAAGAGGATGTGCAACTCCGTGCTCCACACATTCACCAGAATGCAGTCAAGGTCATCGGGCGGAGGAAGCCTGGGGCGGGCTCCGGGCGGAGACGGTAAGCCCAAACCCAAGGAAACAGTCACCCGAGTGCACCAGGCAGGCTGCATCTGAGGGTGGGGCCCATCTGTCCGGTCCCATGACTCACCAGGCTACCCGACGTCGGGGAGAAGAAAGCCAGCACTAAGTCTCAGGCTGGACGAGCAGCAAGCACGGCACATGGGAATGGGATCAAAGGTGGAGGGAGGGGGAGCGCGGGTTGCCAAGCCAAGGCTACAATTTCACAATTAAGATCTGACAATGCGATCCGCTGGTGGCGCAGCCAGCGTCTGAAACGGGGTCAGCGCTAGACTCAGGTGATCAAGGGACAACGCTACCTCCCCTCCACTTCCAGGAAAAACATCAAGATCATCTTCAGTCATAACCTGCAGTCTCACTGCATGAAATTAACCGCGGGCGACCGCCCAGGCTGCACCTCCCGACACCAACGCCGGTCCGTGGGAAGCTACAGAAATTGGGCCCGCCCGTCCAACCCTACACCTGCTCAGTTTCTTAGCAGGACAACGCCCAGGCCCACGTTCGCCCTGAAGCCGTGGCACACAATCCCGCCCATAAACCAGAAGCGACTAGACATGGAGGCGATGACGAGACCGCAGGAGAGGGGAGGGATTCTTCTGGGCCCTGGGCGGGCCTTGGAAGACAGGAGGCAGCAGAGAACTCCCATAAAGGTACTGCGGCATCCCCTCCCCGCGCCGAGCTGGGTGCGGCCATCTCCCCGCCTCCTCCACTGCAGCTCGCGCCCGACGGCCACTCGCGGACGGCGCGCCCCCCGCCCCGGCCCCGCGCCCACACCTCCGGCGCCCCCGGAGCAGCTCGGGCTCGCCCCGGCCTCCAGGCGGCGGGCGCGCGGGGCGGAGCCCGGCCGGCCGCCCGCCCCCGCCTCCAGCGCGCGCTTCCTGCCACGTTGCGCAGAGGCGAGGGGCCAGACACTGCGGCGCTGGGCCCTCGGGAGGGCCGAACCCGCGGCCGCCCCCGCCCCCGCCGGCCCGCGCGCCGGCCCCGCGCACTCGGGCCTCAGCAGCCAATCAGGCGCGGGGGCCGCGCGGGCGGCGGGTAAACCGACTCCCCCGAAGGCGGCCAGGGCGGGAGGACGCCGGCGCGGGAGCCACGCTCGCTGACCCTCCCCTCCCCCGCGCCGGAGGCCGACCGCGCCCGCACGTCCCGCTCTCCCCACCGCCGACCTCCCCGCCCCACCCAGGGGGCACCGCGAGAGCCGCCCGGCGGCTGCGCACTCCAGAGGCCCTGACTGACAGGCGCCGCGCTCCAACCAACAGCCGCCATTTGTGTTTTCACACACGGCGGGAGGAGCGGCGGCCAATCAGGGGCCAGAGGCGAGCCGGAAGCGCTCCTCCCTGTGCGGGAGCAATGGCTCCGTCCGGAGTCGAGCCTTTTCCGCCTCTCTTCGCCCTCCCCCTCCGGCTGCCGCAAGGCGGGCCTCCGCCTGGCCCGCGCCCGACCGCCCCGTTCCCTTTTTCGGCCTAACAAACGCTACACTCCCGACGTCCCGCGAGGGAAGGCGACTCCCAGCCACCAGCCGGTGCACCTTAACCACCCAAGCCCCCGGCTCGCCTGGCCGCCCTCCCACCAGAGTTCCGCTCCCCTACCTAGCCGAAGCTCTCTGAGGAACCGGAGCCCCAGAGCACAGCCTCTTCTCTAGGCGGCCCCGGCGGCTCCCGCTGATTGGCGGCGAGCTGGCCAATGAGCGCCGGGCGGCGGGCCGAGAGGCCAATGGCACGGCAGGAGGGGGCGTGTCCCGGGTGCCCCTGGCGCCGGCGCCGGGAATCCCCGTGCGGTCAGTGGCGTTTCCGCTCGGGCAGCGGGCTGAGTGAGCTGCCGCCGCCGCCGCCGCTGCCGCCGCCGCCGCTACCGCCGCCGCCGCCGCCGCCGCTGCCGCCGCCGTCGCCGGGGGAGGGGCGGCCGCCGCCCGCCTGCGCTGAGACTCACGCAGCCCAGTCCCGCCAGTCCGCCAACACAGTAGTGCCGGCCCCCTCCCTCCCTGGCCCTTCCCCCTCCCCGCCTTCGGCTCGCTCCGCCTTTTTGCCCCCCACCCCCACCTCACGGGTACGGGCCCTTCCCGGCCAGGAAACGCCGTGGCGCCGCGTCGGGCCTAGCTCGATCCTACTGCCTCCCGGGAGTGCCGTGCGCCGCAGCCCGGGCCCAGGCCCCGGCAGCGCCTGGGACAAGGTAAGGGTCCGACAGGAGAGAGGCCGACCCTCCCACCGGGCCCCGGGGAGGGAAGGGTCACCTCCTCCGCCGGGACGCGGGGCCTGGCCTGGCCCGGCTCCCTGCAGGAGGATGCTGCCCCTTCCGGCTCCCCGCCGCCCCCGCACACGTAGCCCCGCTGCCCGCCGGCCGGAGAGGCCCCCTCTGGAGTCCCGCCGACCCCGCTGCCCTGGCGGGGCGCTCCCCTCCCCCCACGCCTCTCACCCCCTTTCCCGAGCACTGGCTACTCCACGCTGACCTCGGCCGGCGCCTAGGCCGCGGGCGGCCCCGCGCCCCGACACACAGGCGTACTTTCCCGACCCCCGCCCGCGCCCCCGCCGTGGGGGCCCGCGCCCCCGGCTCGTCTGCCCGGGCGCCTTCGCCCTCGCGCCCGGGCTCGCAGCTCAGATGGCTGCCCGGGCCCCCACCCCGCCGCCACCCCCACCTCGCATTCTTGGGCTCCCCGCGGCCGCCGGCGCGGGAGCCGGGAGCTCGCCCCCGTGGAGTGTGTAGGGTTCGAGCCTGGAGTGGAGCCAGGTCGCGTCGCGTTGCCCGCCTTGGGCGTGGAGGGCGGCTGGCGAGGCCGAGGGGCGACCCCTTCCCGAAGCCTGTGCGTGTGCGTGCGGGCCGGGCCGGGCCGGCGCGGAGAGGGGGCAGGGAGCGAGCCCGCGGCCCTGGTGCGTCGCGTGCGAGGGAAAGTTTGCGTGCTGGGAAAGCCCCTCGCGAGCGCCGGTCCGCCTGCGGCGCCCGTGCCCCTCGCCGCTCGCTCGGCCGGGGGCGGTCCTCCTCGGGGGCGCCCTGGCGCTGCGGCCGGCCCTGCCGGTGCGGTCGGGGTGCGTGTGTGACCTGCATTTTCTGCTTTCTCATGTTACTTGTGCAGTGTGTTCACCAGCAACTCGTTTCTCGGCCGGAGTTCTGGCTTCCACTCGGCTTTGTGTCTCCCTGGGTTCGTCTCTCCGGTGGTCCCCCATGCTCAGAGTACTGGGAAGGTTCCCCCGGGTCCCTGCCGATTTTCTTCTCGACTTGAGCAGGTTGTGTTTAGATGGCACGTTGGTGACCAAGGTCATATTTTCATTTCTTTGTTAGTCAGGTGTTGCATAGCTCTGCTTTTGATTAAGGAAAATCAGCCGATTTGAGTGTTCTCAGCTTCTCAAGAGACTGTGTACTCCCTGTGTGGAGGGGAAAAAGTATTTTCAGTGGTGAATTTCATATTATTGATGTTTTTAGGTCACTGAGAGGGGAGTTATGAGCGGTAATTTTAGATGTGTGGAATCTGAGCTAGGGCTACAGCAGAGGTTACTCACGTAATCAGAGGTTTCTGGGCCTCTTGGAGGGCACAGGAAAAAAAAAATTGTTTTTGGATTTCTTCCAGTTTTCTCAGGAGGGTCATTAGTTCTTTTCTGAAGCCAAAAATTCTGTCCCATAATGGGATTAGAGTCTTTAAGGTTTACTCAGGTTGTCATTATGTGTGGAAAAATGAATTTTGTCCTTTGGTAGGACATGGCACAAGGCTCTGTCTTGTCTGCAAATTTAAATTTGTAGAGTGCTTGGAAAATTGGCCTTCTGAACGTTGAAGCTTAATCTTAATTTGTTGGTTTAATTAAATGAATATTTGTAATTTTGAGAAACGTTGATTTTTCTTTATAGAAAACCTTAGTTTAAAAAGGTAGGGTTAGGATTGTTTTATTTCTAAAAAGGGTAATTTCAGCCCTTCTAGTATGGAGCCCTGGTTCCAAAAAAAAAGTGTGTATGGAGTGGGGGTGGGGTATGCAGAAGGTGGTTCCTGTGTTGGATCACTGGGGTGAGTATACAAGGCAGCAGCAGCTGCTGGCTCTGGAGCTCTGGTTGCTACGTGAGAAGCTTGAGTAGTGCTGGCTGCTGTCTCCAGGGAAGGACAGCAGTGCAGCGTCCATTAATGCTGTTGGCTGCAGGGAGCTGCACTTGCACGATGGCTGCTTCAGGACTCGAAGAAACCTTGGTTTCCTGGGAATTTTCCCTGCTGGGCTGCTCTGCCTGTTGTGGTGGGGAGGTGAGAATTAGCAGTTCCTAACCTTCTACCCAGTTACGGGTACCAGTGTCTGGGAACTGGGTCATAGTTAAAGCTCGTTTTTGTTTGATTTGGGTCTTGTTTTGGTAGAATTTTCTTTTTTATCGGGGGTTTCTGCTTCTTAGTAGTTCCACTGGAGTTCTGATTTCCGAATCCATTTAAAATTGAAATAGAATTTATGGACCTGCCTGAGAACCAGAACTGTTTATATTTTTTCCTGCAACTGACTTGTTTCCCTTCATATCTTTAATCGTTGAATCAGTTTTGATTTGTTGTTGTTGTGTGTCTTTCCTCCCACTGATTAGGCCGTATTTACTCACTGAGTAGATGCTTTGCCAGACATTTTACTAAACTTGGAATCCAAAGCTCTACAATGACCTGCCATATTTGAAGGGACCTCCAAATATATATATTTGTCTCTTAATTTCTGTATTCATAAACTGATTTCTCCAGGTTAGGTATTTTCTTTGGAGTTTGCCCTGTAAAGTTTGATTTATTATATGCATATTGGATATAGTCTTCAGACATCACAAGGCTGTATCTTTGGCTGTGATCTGTGGGAAATACAGGGGAAAAAAAGCAATATGCAGAAATGGTAAAACTCTAGTTTAGTGTGCTGATACAGTGTGTGAACACCCTTTTGTGGTCTCCCCTCCCCAACAACAGCTGAGATTAAGCAGAGGTGTGTAGAGTATAGAGGTGACCACCACCCAAATATACCACCAGTTACATACAACACTTAACATACCCAGTGAGTTCTATTTTCCCCTTGAGACTTTCGTGTCCTTTATTTCACTCAGAGTTTTGATTTGTCCAATTTTGTATAAATTTACTTAAATCCCACATACATCTATAGTTTGTGTCAAGACTGGCATTTATGGCAAGGAACCAAAAACAGTTCACAACTGTGGCTCATGTTGGTTTCCTTGTGTTTAAAGTAGACCTCAGTGAAACAGAACTTTCAATACATAATATTTTAGGTGGCTCTGATTCTTAGTACAGTCACATTTAAGGCACAGTGTTGGGTTAAGATTTCACTTCTACTGGCTGTTTGATACAATCTAAGGAAGATGATTTTCTAGTTTAAATTATTATATGATATAAAAATTACCTTATAAAATAATTACTTTTTCACTTTCATGTCCTGGTTTTTTGGGAACCTGTTGGTTTTCATGTAATCGTTTTTGTGAAGGGTCATACAGGCCCCTTTCATGGAAGTCTAGCCAGAATAGTTGAAATTCTTTTTTACATCTTTTGATATTGTCTTGTGCCCGGAGATTTTATGTTTTCTGAAGTTAACTTTGGTTTTTCAGGGAAAGTGACTATTGCATTTTTGCCTGTGAGTTCAAAAATAATACAGTGCAAAGTGCAGATACCTTTTTTGTTTTACCTCATTATATTAAAATCACCTGCGAAACATTAGACCTACAGTCAGTGGTTACTGGATGGGAAGTAGAATAATATTTCTTGTGACCTTTTGTTGAATTCTGATAATGTGTGAGTTTAATTTGAAATTTGAAGAGTGAATCTTACTTATAAAAATTGTTTCAGCTGTTAACTTTTTTTTTGACAAGTATATTGTTTAAAATGTAAAACTTTGACTCTGCAAAATGCGAGATAAAATATTTAGTCATTTGAAATTTAGAAACCAGAGGGGCTCCTTAGAAAATAAGTGTATTGTACCTACAATGGACAGGGATTGGTATAATTTCTTACTGCCAAAAATGCAAACTATGTGATTAAATGACATTTTCAGTTGATATTACAGTTTTTTTTCTGGTTGGATTTAAGGAAGCTCCTGAAAGGTAGAGAAGAAAATATAACTTCCTTCACTTGTCTATACATATTAAGATAATAATTTTGTTGTGTATTCACTTATCAGTTAGGTGAAGGATACCCATGAACTTGGTGGGGGTGTCATGAAGCATCGCTTCAGACAGTTCTCTTACTCTGACTGAATGTGCTCAGACTCTTACTGCTTCCTGAAGGGAACTGTGAGATAAAGGAACAATGAAGCTGTGTCTACTTTATATGTGTCCTCAGTGAGTAAGGAATTTGTAATCTCATCCTGCCTCACTGTTTTTCCATCTTATTGATTTTGTTTACAGAATACCTGAGGGAATATCTTATTTAATGTTAGGTCACATTCAGTATCTTTGATGTGGGAAAATAAATTTTCTGCTTATTGGAATATTGGAATAATGTCTTAGTATCTTTATAACTAAGGTTATTGGCCAGTGTTGCCTTATGTATATGTCTGTTGCTTCAATTGTACTGCTTTCTCTTCTGTTTTCCTTGTAGTGAGAGGATTCCCAGAGTTCTGATGGCAAATTGAAATAATAAAGAATCTTTTTCGCTAGTCATGTTAGTTCTTTAAATGCAGCCAGAGCTGGGCATACATTTGGCCTGTGTTGTCAATCACCCAAAAACAAAAAAAAGGGGAAGTGGCTATAGGAATTTATACAGATTTGGTGTGTATCTGGGGAATCAAGTTTTTGATTTCTGCTAACTAACTAAAGAAAAATCTGAATTCCTTGCTATTCTGGATGAGAAATAGATGGAAGCATGGGAGGAGCCATAGACCTCTGCAGCAGGATTTGGTCTGAGTAGAAGAGGAAGATTTTTGTTTCAGATTGCCAGCTGCTTATGTCAGACTGACTCCCTTATTCTGCCTCCAGTAGGCCTGTCAATATGGCCAAACAGCTAGATAAGTGCAGGGCAGGACAAAGGGCTCTTTGCACAGCAGGGAGGCAGTGTTGGTTGGGGGAGGGGCAGAAGGAGGAGGTTCTTTTCCCTGGGAGATTATTCAGTTTGGCATACAATTAAAGAAATCATTTTTAGTTCCCATTCCAGCATTGAATTTCTGCCAACCATATACAGTTAACCCCAAGCTCGGTACATTCCAGAGTATCTGGTAGGGACCTATTCTCTTCTT